GGCCCTTTTCCAGTCCTCAGGGACTTGGCCAGAGCACCAGGAGTCCTCGAACAGCCATGCCAATGGCTCCGCAGTGACACCAGCCAATTCCCTCAGCACCTGCGGATGAAGGTCATCCAGGCCCGCTGATTTGGACGCATCTAAGCCCTCCAGGTAATCCTTAACTAGGTCTGAACTAACAGTCGGCGGACTCGCATCCTTCCCAGGCCTCTCTACACTGTCACCCAAGAGCACCCCATTGTCAGCAGACGGGAACACAGAGGCAAAGAACTTGTTGAAGAGTTCTGCCTTCTCTCGCGCGTTCTTCCTAGAAACTTCTTAGTTGAGAACTGTATAAATTACAGACTATACCACCCTGTTTTGTTTTGAGTCATTTCACTGACTGTCCATCTGATTGCCTTTGTGTGCTGTTTCTTCCAGAGTTACTTGCTGTGGTGGAACTAGCTCAGATACTACAGATAAAACAAACGATTCTTAGACATGCGATAAATAGGTCAGTCATGTAATGTTAAGATCACATCTCAAGGTCTACAGAAACATATTACAAATAAAAAGTGCTCGCTTTCGTCCCTCCATATCTTAATGCAGTGGACAACTTATCAGTTACATAATTTGACATGAAATTGTTCTCAGACAAGTTTAATTCACATTAATTCTGACTTTTCTCTATCTTTTGAATATGTCTGCACCATTAATGTTTTGTTTTATTCTTGTATGGCTACATGAAATATATTGAGGGTGGGCAAGAATACATAATAATGTTTGGTAGCAGAAGTAAGTCTTTGGCATGCATTTGGAATAATTTAATTATTCATTAATGATGAAGTCATACATATATGATTCTGGGGACTAATCTGGGCTCCTTTTTGTCACAGAAAATTGTCTGTATCAGAGAAAGGTGGGCTTTGGATACATTGTACTTATGAGCTTTATTACTAATTGTCGGGTTAGACTTGGAGATATCTAGTCATGCAGATGATTCTTAACATGTGAGCCAGCTTTAATGGACCACTTGAACTCTGGATTACTCATGTCATTTTCAAACTGATGCTTTCAAAGGCCACCAGATTTCAGGATTACAGGGTTTTCACTTTTGAATGCCATATCTGAAGGAATTACCAAGCAAGGATCTTATCCCTTCATTGACTCGCTTTACTAGTGTTAAGAATGGGATGGAATTCGAAACGTAAAGAAAGTAGTTGCTCCTTGAAGGTAACTCTTGTATTTGAGGTCTCCTGTTCCCTCTCCCGCTTGTCTCTGTATATCCATGAATCCTCTGAACCCCTGTGTTATTAGGCTTATTTGCATAAGCATATTAGGAGGTATTCCAATGCAATATTGCATTTTCACTAATTAGACTAGGGACATGCCATCCAAAATTAATAAAATAGGGATAGATGTTATTGTGTTCATTAAAAGAAGCCTGAGTCTTTAAGACTGTATTAACCCTTTATCGTTTTGGTGAGTAGAGAGCTGATTTTCATGTCCAGCTTACCATTAGTGCTTCAAGAGATAGCTCCAGGGTGAAATACAGAGACTGAGCTGAAGGTGGAGATACCCTTTTAGTAAACATAGCGTTAACGGTCCATTCCCAGTTACACAATGCATAAGAAATTACTGGACCAACAAATATTTTAAGTGTTTAGGATCTGAACCCAAATTAATGTCTAGGTTCTACATAACTGCCATGCAAATAAATATTTAAAATAAAAGTTCTGAGGAGCAGTTAAGGCACATTTATGTACCTACAAACTTAACTATATTAAGATAGAAACTTGATTTGTTTATTAGGTTCAGGTAATGCACCATAAACTGAGGTCAAGAGAGAAAACATTAGGTAAAAAAGTAGACTACAAAAGCTAATTTTTAAAACATTGCTTGCATTTGTGTATATGTACTAGCTTGCCCCCTAAAAGTCTTCTTTTAATTTCTTTTACACAAGTTTATACCAGGGTCACTACCTTTTTTTTGCCGTGTCACTTACATATGCAAACATTGCCTTTTCAATGTCCAAATACCACCTGTGAGAGCATGTGGATATTATACATGTTCATTGTACTTTTTGTGTGCAAGTGGCACTGCTAAAAATCTACTTTCTGAATGTTGAAAGCCATAGAGGGAATGCAGCAGGAGTTAAGTCTGGATAGGCCCTCCATAAAAACCCTTGCCTTTAGCATCCACTCCACCACTGTGAAAGACATCATACTGGTTTAGAAGGACTTCTGATTTGACCTAATATGACTCCTCTTATGTTCTTAAAGTGTATATGGAAATAGCTGGACATCTGAAGTTGCCTGCATGCAGAAACTAGGCTGAGGTCCCTTAAACTTATTTTTCTTTTTATGCTGTTCGTATTTCTCACATTTGCAATCCATTTTGAGTTCATACAATTTGGCCTCCCTTAAAATCTAAAGGGGAAAGTTTGCTGCGGTATCTCCCATCTTTTTAATAAAAATGAACATTGGGGGAAAGGTCTTTCCCTGGTGCAGAAACTTAAAGAATACAGAAGAAAAATGTGTCATGTTTTAAAGGAAATGGACTAGGTCAGCTTATATCAGCAGAGGCCTTGTTATAGCGTAAATCAAACAATTGCTTTATTTAGAAAAGAAAGGTGCTATATTCTTAGCTATTCCTCATCCAAATTCCAAGCCAAGTTCAAGAACCTATTTTGTATAGAAAGAATTTGGGGGCTGTGGGAACAAGAGGCAGCATTTGGAGAAATAGGTTTTTCTGTGCAAAAATAACTTATCAGGAAACAACTCATAAATGCCAATGAATTGATATGAGGCTGCTAAACGAAAGAACAGTTCTGCCCACTGTTACAAATATGCTTTATGTATATCTATCTCATTTTAACTTCTCCAAAGAAGGATTTGAATTTTTTAGGACAAATCCTAAAAATCCATTCATGATGAAGCCTTCCACAATTATATGTCTCATTGAAGTTAATGGGAGTTTTGGCTGAGTGAAAACCTAGGAACGATTTACAGGTTTTATTGTATTCTCTATCAGACACCAGACTGGAGAAACATCTGACGTGAACCTGAGATAACATTTTCAAAAGTTGTCTAAAAGTTTCATTTTCAAAAGTAACTTTAGGGAATTGGGAAGCTGTCGCTCACAAAAAGTCAATGAATCCTAATGAAACTTCTTAGTTACCTCTATCACTTTTGAAAAAGGGATTTGGGAGAGAAAAGAAAAGGAAAGCCTTTGTTCCATCTACTCAGAGACAGTAGTTTCTGGGAATGGCAAGCACAATTATTTTGTTTTGAAGGCAGTGTAAAATACACCTGGGATTTTGGCTTAATGATGTATTTTAATTTTACCAAGACACAAATACCCACCCCTCCCAGGAAAGGGTTGTCCAAGGTTTGAAATGCTGATTTAATGCTCAGTACGCTCTGTGAAGCTGATGCTTCAAAGAACTTGGAGTTTTATTCAAGCTTTAAAAAACTTTAGCATACTTTTGGTGTTAGCTTAAAACTGGCATTGCAGATAGTGTTTGCAATGTATTTCTAATTAAGCTTGTTTTCCCCCCCCCCACACACCTCCTTTTCTCCCTTTCCCTTTCTTCCCTTTCCCTTTTTCCCATTAGTCGGAAGTGTCTTGGATCCCCAACAAACACTACTCCGGGATTTATGGGCTGATGAAGCTGGTTCTGACAAAGACTCTTCCTTCCAATCTTGAGCGAGTCATTGTCCTGGACACAGATATAACCTTTGCCACTGACATTGCTGAGCTATGGGCCGTCTTTCACAAGTTCAAAGGTATTCTGATGCCATTTTTAATGCTTCTTTTGTTAACTAAACATGGGGTGGAGAGTGGAGGGGTGCTGTGGGATTTATTTTTAAATACTTTCACTCTTAAGCTTTCTGGTGTTTGAATACATGTACTCTGCTTACTGGTCCTCTCTATCATGTTACTGGAGAGATGATAATAGTTGCCTGTATAAACTGTGGGCATAATTTGTCATGTTTTTCCTATTGCTTTGGGAGGAAACATTTATATTTGGAGGAATATTTTTACAGTATTATTCATTTACAGCTTTATTCATAAAAGCAAATGGATCATTTAAAATTAAACCTCTAGTTGTTACCACTGAAAAGGAGGGAAATATAGTTGGAGTGATGCTAGGCTAGGAGGTAGAATTGCCACCTGTAAACTTGGGAATGGAAGTAAAATATTTATGCCTCTGAGAAAATAACTATGAAAGGGATCTAGCCACCCAACTCCTGTTAAAAACTTCAGGACTCAATAACACAGGACTTTCTCATTTTTTCTCCCTTAAAGGAAGTTACCAAGTTTCCCTCCTCTCACAAACATACATATACATGCTGTTCACATATTCAGATGTTCTTGTTTGGTTGGTTGGTTGGTTGGTTGTTGGTTTTTTTCTTTTTTTTTTCCCCTCTGTCTTCAGATGGGTTAGTATGCTAGGGGAGATGTCAACCAGTATGCTCAGATCACTGATATGTTTGATTCTTTAACGTAGTCATGAATTTCTTCCATTCTTGAAGTGTCCTTTTATAGGTTTTTAGAAACTGGTATTTTAGACCTCTTTAATCCTGTCCCTGGTTTCCCATTAGGAGTCTCACCGTGACTTTAAAAAGACTGCTTTGGGGCAGTCTGCTGTGCTGCCTGCAACAGTAGTTAACACAAGAGTGATAACATTGCTGTTAAAGGAAGCTACCGCCTCTGTGGGGGCCTGACGCCACATCCTACTCAACCTGGAGGGCAGTTTTAGAACTGTTGACTCCCTGTACTAGAAATGTTCAGATGCCTAATTGTTGCCTGGAATTGGCCATTATAAACCTGTTCATGTCTGATCTTGCTTGAGCAGTCAAAGAATTTTCACAGCCGGTAAAGCAGGAAGGGACAGAGCTTCCTTCTGTGGACTGCTGGGGGATAACAAATATGACATTCCTGCACCGCCTCTCCCAGTTTCCAGCTACAGTGAAAGACAGTGAGACAGACCTAAAGTCTGTCATTCCCAGAAACACTAGTTTTCCCAATAGGTCATAATGGTGTACAGGGGCCGAGGGGGGCGACTTCCGTTTCCTAAGACATCCTACTTGGAAGAGGTTTGAGTTCAGCGTTGTCTTTTAGCGTAGGCCTGTAAAATTTGTTATGTGGAACAATCCAAATTAATAGGGTTTTTTGCTTTGTTTTGAATTTGTGCCTCTGAGCCAAGGCTGTGAAGTTAGGGGTATTCTGATACCTGTGGCCCAGGAAGGGTGCCACAGGCCAGCTGGGTGCTGTGAGTGTATCAATTTAGCACAAGCCAGCTGGGCTGTTAGGTTCAGTTTTGGATCAAGAAGGCAAAGTTGGGAGTGAAATAAAGGCAAATTTATTATAGCTTACGCACAACAGTTAACAGAAAGATAAATATGATAAGCAGATACTGCAGTATTAAAGAGCTAATAGTAAATAATTACAACAGATAATAACAACAGATAGATGGATCAATTCTGTCGCAGGCCAGCTGGGCGCTGTGAGGGTATTAGCCACTGGGCTGTTCAGAACAACAGATAGACAGACATGGGTTGGCAACTTATCAATAGTCCCTCAATGCCAGGTACGCGTCAAGTGATTCCAGTGAAGGTAGGCGTCCCCGATCGGTGCTATCAGAGGGTTGCCAGGGAAGGTCCCTTGATCAGGATCCGATCCTCGGACTCGCGGTGTGAGTGGAGTTCGGGCGTAGAACAGAAATGACCGTTCTGTTCCCTCCTTCCTGCTGGTCACCTGATGCATGCACTTTTTATACCTAGTCTTATATTAATCTGTTGGCATTGGAGCCACTCACAATGTTACCCTCTAGGTGTTACCCTATGGGATTGAAAGGTGTTAAAATTATCATAAAAGGTTACTATGCAGGCTCGGGTTTATCCAATAAGCAAATTATGATGCAGCACTTCTTAGGTTTGAAATTGACATTGCTCTGCCTACTTCCCAACCCCTTGTAGGTTTCATTTAAATATGCTTTCTTGGGGTGTTTTTTCGTGGAATGTATTGGGTGTGCCAGGCCAGGCAGTTGGATCCAGTTTTTATCATCAAGGCTGAACCCTGAGCAAAAGACCGTTAGGTCTCCTAATCTTACAGCTACAACTTTGCCCAGTCAGTTCCACAAACAGTTAATTTATCATTTTGGTTAAACTTATGACAGACAAGTTACATTTGCAGTTTACAAACTTATAAGCTTTATATTAACTAATATTACCTGTTTAGGCAAAATACCAAATGTCTCCAAGAAGCACATATTTATTGCTTATTAATCCTTCTGGTTCTGGCTGTTACAGACGGGTCCCCTACTAATGATAATGTACGGCAATCAAAGTTATAGCCCTTATATCGGAGGTGGGCAAAATGCGGCCTGCCAGGCTATTCTATCCAGCCCATGGGGCCCCTAGAAATGTAGAAAATGAATATTTATCCACTCCTGGCTGCCTGTCATGTGGCCCTCGGTGGCTTGCCAAAACTCAGCAAGCGGCCCTCCGCCCAAAATAATTGCCTGCCCCTGCTTTATATAGAAACTGATATTTTTGTTGGTAAAGTTAGTGTTGCATTCTGCATCATTTGATTGGGGCAGGGTGGTGGTGATGCAAAAAATGTTCTTGTTGTAGCCCTTTGCTTGCTTACTTGTCTGTACATGACATTGCCAAGCAGGAGTCAAAGCACTGTGTAGTTGGGGGCACAAATTACTAATATACTTATGTCAGTTTAACTTGTTTGAAAAGCTCTTCCTTGAAGTGGCAGCATTAGGCTTCCAAAGGAATTCATAGCTTGCTTAGCCTGAAATAGTGTCTCTTAAGAAAATATGACATTTAGAAGTTTATCTCTGCAACCATAAGGGCTATGTATTTACTAATACTTTGAAATGAAGGTTTTCACTCTATAATCTGAATGTGCCATTGGGGCCTGCAAATTTGTATGAAGAGGGCCAGTTCTAGCTCGTCAGCTCGGAGTTTGACATTTCTACCTTAGTCTCTTCCCCCACACATACACACTCACACAGAGAAGCATGCTGCAGATTTTATTTCCTCTAGGATAGTTTTAAGCCAAATACTGACTTTAAAGGCAGGTGTTTGCAGCCACTGTGATAGGCTTTTCTCTTTGGCTTAGTTGACACAAGTTAGGTTTTCCATTCATCGCACACTGGATTTTGACAGTTCCAAACTTGAGAAAGTATCTAGCTTAGGGGCAGAAAAACAGGCTGCAGAACACATACACGTTCCTGGATAAAGTGCAATGAAATGTTTCAGACAGGTAGGGTTAGTATAACCAACTCACCTTTATTGCAAAAAATGTGTGAATTCTGCCAGGAAAAAAACCTGCCTAAACTGTGTTCTCTGCCATCAATCTTAGAACTTTTAAAAGTCCACCTCAGCTAATTATTTTATTTTTAAATCCTCAGTTGTCTTAGCATAGAAAGATGTTTTATTTTACCTTTCATGCTTTGGATTTAGTGTTTATCCAGTAAGCACGGATTTCACAAATCCCTGGTTTAAATGGCAACGTGGATCAATTTTGGCTCTGACATTATTTGTATTTCACTGAAAAGCGCCCATCAGGACCCACTGTGCAAGGAACTTTACAGACATGTTAAGAGAGAGCCTGAAGAGCCTAAAGTTTAAATAGGCTTAGGAAATGGTAATAGTCTTGCTTTATAGAGGGAAAGGTGAGGAACAGATTAAATAACTTTCACAATATCATACAAAGGAATCACTGGGAAGTGAAAGCTGGGAAGTGAAATCTCCTGATTTCCATTCTAGAGCCTTGAACATGATACCACTTCCGACTGTTGTCATGTGAACAAGGAAGGTTTGTTTGTTTTTTTTAAAGGGTGCATCTACACATTCATTAATGCTCCATAATTGGCACTTCTGCACATTATCACAGATGAACGCTTTCTGTGTGACAGTTAATATGCATTGGACTAAATCTGCTGCCCATTAGCATGGTTTTTGCCATGCTACGCTAATGCGCAGTAGAATTAGTCCAATGTGCATTAAGCGTCTCATGTAGACTTGCCCAAAAACTGGTCCATCAGAAGTAGCTTCTTCTACTAGACTTTGTCAGTTGGTGTGAATGACAAAGAATATTAAAACCACCTTTAAAAACTATTTCTATCCTGCCTAAATATTAATAGTTCCTATTGCAATTATTTATTAGATTTATATTCTGTGCTGTCCAAAGAAGGCTCAGGGCAACTGCTCACAATAAAACCCACAAGGTACAAAATAAAAAACAGACTCCCATATGATATCTCCACTCCACCCCAACTACTCTGCTTCCCTGCCTCTCAGCCAGGAAAGCATCCCTCCCATCCCAGCTGTGCTTCCCAGCCTTCCTAAACCTCCACTTGCGGCTTCTTTTTATTAGCTTGTTTTCAGTGGATGTTTGTACAGTCCTACTTATTCCTGCTTTTTATCACTTGCATATTTAATCATATTGTTTGGTTTTTCATGTTTTCTCTTTTTAGGAGCGTGTAGACAGTTTTTTTTCTTCTTCTACATTATTTTATTTTATCTTCACTTTCTTTCTGTTCCCAACTCCATGCCTCTTGGGAATTCACTGGGATAAAGGTACTTACTGCTGTCTCTGAGGCACCTGGACTTAAAGTTTCTATCGGGCATGGCTAGTCAGTTTACTTTTGGTCTCATTAGGTTGTAGCCCAGCATGTGCTGAGAGTGCTTTGCTCAGACAGAAACATTCTCCTCCAGCAACTATCAAGGCCAGGCAAAACTAACAGATTCTGGTTAAGAAGCCT